GCCATCTCTCCTTCACCGCGTCGACCTCGCATATAAGGTTGCCATGAGGGTCTTTAATGCAGCGACACTTGGAAATATCTTGTGCCGCTAAGACCCTCGAACGTGCCAGCTTAAAGATAAGCTTCTGCCCCTCAGACGATTCCAACTTGTCATACAACGGCTGCAAGTGGTCCCGTCTGGCTCTGGCTACAGCTTTCTTAGCGGCACGTTTGGCATCCCTATATGCGTCGCGGTCTTCAGAAGATTCGGACGCTTGCCACGTTTTGAAGAGGGCTTTCTTCACCCTCACCTCCCTCTGGACTGTGTCGTTCCACCACCAAGTTTCTTTGTCACATTTGCGACCACCCTTGGACAAGCCCAGCACCGCTTTCGCCGCCTCAGATATGGCAGCCTGAATGTTGTCCCAGTGGTTCTGGACTAGATCACCTTCAGTGTCGGCGCATTTATCGCCGATCGCTGAGATGAACTCCTGGGACGTGGTACTATCAAGCCGCCACCATCTGATTTGGCGTCGGCAGCGCTCAGCGGGCTTGTCGGCCGGCTTTACGCAGAGATCCATGACAAGAAGACGGTGTTGCGCAGTGAGACTCTCACCTGGTATGACCTTGCAGTTGGCCACTTTGCTGATATGGTGTCTCCTGGTGAGTAGGAAATCGATTTGGGTGGCGTGTCCGCCGCTCTTATAGGTGATTAAATGCTCGGGGTTCTTTTTAAAGAACGTGTTCACGATGGCGAGATCGGCCGCCGCACACGTTGTGAGGATGTCTCCTCCCTCCGCGTTGCGACTGCCGTACCCGTAGCCACCGTGGATCCGCTCGAACCCTTCACACGCCTCACCCACATGACCGTTCAGGTCGCCACCCAAGACGACTGCCTGAGACAAAGGAATGGCACTCAGCACTTCCCCGAGTTGATCCCAGAACCTCGCCCTGTCCGTGTCGCTGCAACCGGCCTGAGGTGCGTAGGCGCCTATCAAGTGGGTCACGACCCCTTCGATAAGCACCCTCACTACCATAAGCCGGTCGCTAAAGCGTTTCACTTCCAGGACGTGATCGTGAAACTCCTCGGAGAGCACCACGGCCACCCCGTTCACGCCCCGAGGAGCACCGGTGTAGATCAGCTTGTAGCCATTCCCAATGAGCCGGGATCTGCTGCCTTTCCACCGAGTCTCCTGCAGGAACGCCACGGCGACCCTCCGCCTGGAAAGCACGTCTGCTAGCTCCCTCGCGCGTCCAGTCAGCGTGCCAATGTTCCACGTGGCAAAGCGGAGCTTCCTGTGATGGGTAGGGGCTCGCCTCTTTAACCGTGCCCACCCTTCACACGGTAGCCCTAGTCCACTTGCCACAGAAGTCGGGCGAGGCTCCTGCGCGCCGTTTTGCGGCGGCGCCCTATCCCTATGCCATATCCTTCTGTTGACTTCCATAAGTTGATGTGGCGGTGTTGGTTTTTACGGGAGCGACTGCCGTCTGACCTCCCAACCCCCGAAAGGGAAAACCCCTCGCTAGAGCCTCGTCCGTCTATCAGCAGGCGCACCACTTGCAGGTGAGGTTAGCTTGGGCTCCAAGATGTAGGTGGAGCCCCCAAAACGCCCTTGGTTGTAATCTCAAATGTTATTTGAAAATCAGGAATTATCTGTCCAACAGACTGTAAAACAGCCATATTGTTATCGAAATCCACCAACCCCAATATCTTTCAACGCATCCCTGTTCCATGGAGGGTTCCGTATAAATATTTATCACCCGCTTCATGCTTAATGATCTCTAATTTGATTAGTTTTTCCAACCCTCTGTTTTGGGGGTTGTTTTTTTCATGGCAAAGCCAAGTTTGTTCAAATGTGTGTAAGGAACTTAATTTTCTTTTGAGTTGTTTATTAAACATTTTGTGTTTACGAAATTACGAAATAAACCATTTTCGCAAAAAACGATCGACTATCGAAGTTTAGTATCCAGTAGTAGCGCTCCTTTTGAAAGAGTTCGTCCAAGGAAGTACTGGCACCTTATCTATTTCTGTCGCCAAGCAGTTACGGTTTTAAAAGCGGCATTTGTCAGCTTATGTCTCAGGATGACGGGTGCAGCGGCAGTATCCTTCAGACCTTTGCGATTTATGGCTTTGAGTGGCACTGCCACTATGGACTATTATCTATCATAAAAAAATCTTCATAAGCCCAAAAGGCGAAGGTTTAGGCCATAGTCCGCCACCCTGCCCCTATGTGAGTTGAGGGCTTCGCATGTTTCCCGAGGGTTGTTAACCGAAACCTTCACCTAGAAGCTCATAGTAAATTCCAAATTGAATTTCACACATAAATTCCGAGACACTCATAGGTGCGAGAACAGCAGGTCGATTCAATTGGATATTGTAAGGTTTCTTTTAATTTTTATTCACAATAACCGAATCGATCGTCGAACTGTCGTATTCGAAACCGAACCGAAATGACGTCACACCCGTACTTCTCGAGCTTCTCGACCGGCAAAGGCTGCAAACGTTATTCAGAGCACAGTTATCGAATGAGAGTTACCGAACGTCCTATTTTTACAAACGAAAGAAATCTTTTTTCCGGATTTAAATCGCGTATGTTTGTTTTTTCAAACAAACCGACGTGTCGGGCCCTTTACAGGTCCCATGGTCACGGTTGACTGAGATGGTACAGTCTTCAACCAGTTATGTCTAATATTAATGCAAACCACCCTATTTTTTCACTATAGTTACCATAGTTATTAATTAAAAAACCTTATTTTTAATTTTACAAAGAAAACATTCCAATTTACGCTACATTAACTTTTACAAATTACTTTATTGAATGACTTTTTATTAAGTTCAATTTGTTATTAATTATATACGCGATTTGAATCCGGAAAAATAGTTTCATTTCCTATGTATAACAATCGCGAAAACTCGATAAGAAATCTTTTATTATTTTAAATAAAATCTAGATTTCCAGATTCGAAATCACAGTCTCTGCTTGGGAGATGGTAGGTCAAACAAATAGACTACTACGGCATTCGTGAGCTGGCTACCGACCAGTAGATGTAATGAGCCGGTTAATTAAATAATTGTCAAAAAATAACACACAAAGAAGAAGAAAAAATCAATGAATCGGGATCGGGTAGAGGGTTTATCCGAAAGAATTTACTGTGAAATGAGTAATACTCGACCAAATTCAAATGCGCATGATGCTAATGAAGTTTCATAGTTAACATTGTCTTCTAATATTGTCGAATATTACTTATTTAACAGTAAATCTATTGCCTCCTTCAAATCATCTTTTAATAAATTTTTATTGTTTTCTTAGGTGTCTAACAGCACTGGCAGTCGTGCTGCCTTCTTGACTGCTAACTTTAATATACCAACCGCAAATACATGAGAACACAATACAGGCACAATCAGTTTTGGTTTTATTACATCTCACCTACTTTACACGCACACCCCAATTTTATAGCATGCTTTTTTACTTTTCGATTTGCATTAAATTTTGATTTTCGCCTAGTTAAGTCTATTGCATTTTTTTATTATTATTTTATCTACTTGGACGAAGTGACATTATCCTTGTTATTTATTCGGCTTCAATGAAAACCAGAGTAACAAGCTGTTTTCACACGTCTTGTTGCAAAAAGCGGAGTGGACACCATTTTGGTGACTTTTAAATTTAATTCTTTTACTTTGTGTTTTATCATAAGATTATTTCATTTTTGTTATCATTCTGTTATATACATTTTGTCATAAGTTTACCAAATGAACTACTTTTCTTTCTTTTTTTTCTTTCTTAATTGTTTCGGATGAATGTGAGGCAGATACTCTAACTAAATATCAAATGAACCACATTATTTAACTAAACCACTAAAAATCTTCTCAAAATAATAATTTAATAACCCCTCATCAAATACAGTGTTTACAGTTCATTCGCGACTATAAAGGGTGTTACAAGTGTAATCTTATCAAACCGCAACATGCTGTACAAGGGAGGGATGGTTAATAATAATAAATCCACGCCCTCCCTATCTTTTGAGAGGACTCCAGTGGCCCGAGAGGGAAGTGTCTCGAGGGTGCTATTATCGACTCGAGTGGGAAATTGAATAAGTGTTGGGGTTGTTTTAGGATGTCTATCGAGAGATTATAAAAACAAATAACGTGCAAATTTAAATAAAAAACCAAGTATGTGGAACACCTCTCGTGGATCCATATCTGCACTAAACAAAAATTTCAGCTTCTAGGAAACAGTCAATAAAGTTTCCGGAAATAAAATTAAATTTGAAAACGCAAGATTTTTTTATGGCACCAAGTGAAAGGACGAACAAGTCGTGCGCCTGGTGGTCACCGACAACCTGTCCATAGCAGTTCCAGTGCCATTCCGAGCTTTAAATCGCAAAGAGACATAAGTTGACAAGCCCCATGTGTCTAGAATTTCACCAGCATCCTTACTCTTCATAAGCGAAACGCAGTAATGCTCTCATCACTACTTCGCGGCGGAAATAGGTAAGCTGGCAGTACTTCCCTGGACGCATTTTTGCACAAGGAGCTCAACTGCTACTCAGTGACGTTTTTGAAAAAAAATCCCAAGATTTTTTGACATTGACACTTGAAAAATCTTATGAAACTCTCTTATTTTTCTATTTCCATGAGCAAACAACCCCAACTTCTTCGAGGATAGGATGAATAGGCTCTATTAGGAAATCCAATGTATCGATCTTCGATTCATCGTTCATGTCATTTGGACACAACAGTCATGGATGTGGTCACGAGTAAATCCAATTTAAAAAATGCTTAAAATGAGCAAGAGACTTGCTAGTTTAGGTTTTTCTTTAATTTATACGAAGCGTTTTACTTCTACATTATTTATGTGGAATTCTTTGCCGTTTTCTGTATTTCTCAAACGATTCAACATTAATTTGTCATCTAACGACATCGAAAGCAGTATCTTCTAGGCGAGTATAAAACTCACTTTCCACCAAGAAAGATTGTGGATGAACATAAGCCTTATTATAATTAAATAAAGAACGACTTACCGGAACTAGGCCGGTCGCTGTACCGTGTACAGTAGACCCACGCCGGCCACACCATCTGACCATCGCTCGATGTCTGCGACCCTGCAAATGACAACAAGGGTGTGATTTTAGGAAATATTGGCCATTACCGACAAACGAAGCCGGTTGAAACGTCCACAAAGGCTACGAGTGACCATCCGATCCGGTTTCATCATCCCTCAAGAGCAACTAGCACTAGGTAGCAATCTGCGGTTCACCCGCGGGGAAGTCCGTGAATCGACTTGGGCCTCAGGTAGGTCCCTGCAGAGACGAAATGTCTAAATTGGGGTTCAGGAATGCTAGTCTACCCAGATGTGACCGAAGTGCCCTAAATACCAGCCTTTCACGGGCGGCTTTCCCGCTACTTGGGCCCCCAACTTCCCACGGTCGGTCAGCGGTGCACCGTGCTTCGGATCCCGCTAGCCTCCAGAACCGAGTGCTCAGTGTGGCAGTACGAACAGCTACTACTCGTTGTTAGACGAAATGCAACTGTTCAGACCCGACCTCCTAATGACAACTTCCGAACACGAGTCGGAACACGGTGAAAACCATTTGGCGACTCGACTGCGTCGTGAGGGTGGATACCAGCCACGGCCGAGGCCTACCACACCGGTAGATGTTACTCTTTAGGACCACTCATACCTATAACGCAGTCAAGGCGGCAACACACTATTCGGAGTCCGAAATAAAAGAAACATCGACAGGATAAGAAGAAGATTACCAACAAATTACTACTAGAGTACCTGTTATTTTCTGATATAGCAAAGATTTCATATATCTAACATTAGTCTAATCTGAGCTGTTAGGTTTTGGCAATTGCCATTGATTGATTCTGAATCACGCATATTTGTGTTTTCACACAACATCGACGTTCCGAGCTCTTCACAGGTCCCATCACAGCTGATCAGTTTACTGTACTCATGGGTACTAGAGGTGACATTGCTACATAAGCAGTTATAGGAAGAACTAAAATTAGTGTTGGTTGAGGTTGGCCACTTTGATTTACCAGTCTGCAGCGTTACAAATGAATGCCCCAAAATTAAATACTAAATAAAGATTCAACTCACCTGTATTGGAACCAGGGTTACTACCGCTATCATCCCCTTTTGAAAGATCGATAGCGCCACCCTTATCGCTAGGTTTCACTTCTGGAACCCTTGCTTCGACCTCTGCCTTTGAAACTTCTTTTGCCTCAGGCTTCGCTTCGTTTTGCCTCGTTTTTAAACTTTTGCGCTTATTTAGAGGGTCTGTAATCCGTCGGCCAAAATCTGCTTTCAGTATGTTGTCTATACTGAATTTTAAGCAATTTTGGTTTAAGAAAGATTCGTTTTCAGGTGATTTTGGCGTAAAAAGTCTTCTATTCTCGTCGGTCCTTGTGCTTCTAAGCTCCTGTGTCTTCGATCTCAATCCAAAATTTAACCCGAAAGGTTGGGGATTCAATCCCAAATTATTCTGCATCGGTAATCTATTTGAAATATTCAACCCAGACTTTAAATCCTGATTTAGTAAAGGATTTTGAAATATCAAAGGTTGATTTAAAAACATTAAAGGGTTTGGTGTAATTGGGTTAGGACGTACTAACATCGGTTGTGAGATATTCAAATTTTGACTCAGCTGCGATATAGCATTTAAATGAGTCTGTATATGTTTAAATGACGTCAGACCTGATGTCTCCGGACTTTCGGGACTATTTTTCTCAAGATTTATATTATTATTTGAAGATATAGGAGCTTCGTTACCAACGGACAGAACAGTATCATCGCTACAGCATGAATTGTCATCGTCAACTGATATTTCAGCTCTAAAATCACTAGAATGTTCTTCCTCTATGGGACTTTCAGAGTGTCTAGAACATTCCACGTTTTCTTCAAAATTCGGTGTATTTTGAAGCAGTTTATCAGTTGAAAAGACATTCTCAGGACTATGGCTCTCTCTTTCTTTCTTCAACACATTATGTATGGAAAATGAAGACGTATGTATTGTACGTTCTTCGTTTTTCTCGTCGTCGTGATAGTCAGGAGTGCTAGTGTCCCTTGTATTCGGAGAATAAGGGTCATCGTCGCTTGTTTCCTGGATCTTTATGTTATCCTGGAGGTGTGTAGACACCGCCGCCATCTTGAATTCGGGTTGCTACGCCATCTGTTGACAACATCAGAATAATTGTTAAACAGTTGTTTTGGATACAAACGACTTTACAAAAATAAAAATGTTTAGAAGTGTATGACATTGTTTCTTTCCTATGATTAGTTTTAGAAAAGAACTACGCAGATGGTTCTAGAACAATTATTCTACGTTGTTGACGTTCAAATTAATATCGACATTAAAGTTCGTTTTCTGAAAATTTCAAAGTGCAATTAGTCTCGAAATCTTTAGTATAATAAAGTCACATAGTAGTTATGCGTCAAAAGTGCTTTTATCACATGAAAGTCATAAAACTAAACCTCCCATTTAAGTACAACAAAGTAATCGACTAATTTTGCTCGTAGAATCCTTAAACCCCTCTCCGGAAAAGTTCTGATTTTACAGATGTGCTCCTAATACACCAACGGTGCGAAATTATGATATGCCTTGTTTTACATTCTCTTTTATTCCTGTTTAAGTTTGAATAGGCTAACATCCCCCAAAATGATTGTGGTTGTACAACATTTATAATGTACCAACCCATATCTCTTACTGTTGTTATCATACTAAGTGACGGCACGAATTAGTCGTTCGCCTAGTGGTAAACATGCCTATCCATAACAGTTGCAGTGCCATTCAGAGCTTTAAATCACAAAGGGCATTGACACTGTGATCTGAGGCATAAGTTGACAAGTCCCATGTGCCTGTAATTTCACCAGCACTCTTACCCTTCAAAACCGAAAGAGAGTAATGCTCACATTATTATTTGGCGGCGGAAATATATACAGTAGCAGCAGTACTTCCCTAGACGAACTCTTTCACAAGGAGCTAAGTACTATGTGAGGTGTCTTTTCTATACAATAAACGCATTTCAACTCTACCTTAGAATTAAAAATAATTAAACTGCGAACTCGCGAATACTTGAAGAAATTACTTCTTCTTAACAGCAAAATAAAACAACAACCCCTTAACAGTAAACTGCCTTTTAAAACACCTTAAACACAACCCGATAAAGTTGAAAATAAACCTAGCAAAATCAATCTAATATGCAGTAATAAATTTGCAATAGCCCTTAAAGTAAAAACAAAGTTCAAAATGTAGACGACAAAATTTAAAACAGATAGTGTTAAAACGGGATTGTTATCTATGCGGTAGCAAATACTAAGTTTGTAAAGAGATTAAGCGAATATCTCGTCGGGTGCGCGTGCGCAGCTTCGTGTGTGGTCCGAATCGCGATCGCGTGGTAAGTTGCTCTGCCTTGGTTTTTTAACTGACTTTTGAAAAGATGACACAAACATGATTTTAAAAGTTTTCAAATTTAACATTTGATTGCCACACATTGGAAATACGAAACTTTAACGGACTTAAAAAAAATCCGATCTAAAATTGCGTATCTGTTCAGACTGTTTACTGGTGAAATGGTCACACACAGCTGACTGAGATGGTACAGTCATCAAACAGTTATGTCTAACATTAATGCAAACCACCGTATTATTAATTTTACAAACCAGTATTTATAACGCACCAACCTGTACCATTACCAACCATAACACAGCCGTCTGACGTGAGCTGGAGATAAATATATAATAAATGTCAGACAACATCAAATACATTGTTTTGATCCCAAAGTACTAAAGAAAATACTAAAAGTACTAAATCTATGGAAATCGGAAACTACGACGGTACCACAAACTCCCAGACTCGAGACAATATACAAGTTGTGTCAGTTCTTTTTAACTTTATTTTGAATTTACCAATGAATATTCCAAATTACGCTTAATACGGTTTGCAAATTTTATTTTAATAATATGATTTGAATAATTTATCGAAACAATCGAGTAAGTCTCGAATATAATATCGAATCCTTGTAGCATTATGTACCTATGACTAAGTTTTAGAGTGACTTTCAGATCTTTGTGATTTAAAGCTCTGTCTGACAAGCGTGACAGGACTTGTTTGTCCCGTTCCTTGATATCATAGAAAAAAAGGATTCTGAACAATGAACCTGTCTCTTACACCAACGTATTTTACTGTATCACGTACATCCTTCCTAATAATAAGTTAGTGACCCTGCCCTAAGACGAGAGCGGTTAATTGGTGTCTTCAGAAGTTATTGTCGCTATCCACGTCACTAATAGTAGCCACCATGTTGAAGTGTGAGACGTGAATGATACGCCATTGCAAGGAGGCTTCTTTCATGTACGCCATAAAATAATCGTCAAGTGAATAAACAAGTAAACATTTCTTCTTTTCTTAGTGTGCCGCTTTTCTGTCGGATCTGGACGCGAAACATGATGCTCTTAAGGCTAAGACATCTGCAGCCATCTTTTATTACTATGTTGACGGTGTCCTAACGTGTCGCCACTGTTTGTGAACATTTACCAAACAAATTGGTTACTGTAGCCATCTAAGGGCACATGACAGAGCAAACAACCGTAGCTCTAATTCTAAACAATAGCAGTCGTCTTAGTCGAAACCGGCTAGGAAGTACACACAGTGTGCCGCTTTTCTACGAATGTTCTCTACGGCCGTCATGGCTATGCTCATTTTTATAGCTGCTGCGCAAAAGAGGGAACGTATGCCGTGGAACCAGTCTCTCAGACTCTGCAACTTCGAGGTTTTCCTTCTAACACGACTACGCTTTTCTTAAACTTCCCCTGAATTATTTAGTTGGAGAATCCGGTATCTATTGGCCCTCATTACGTGGCTAAAATACTGCAGCTTCCTTTCCAACTTTTTCCCCGTTCGACGAAGAACCTCAAACTTTTGTACCCACGATATCCAAATTATATATCTGTACTACCATATCTCAAAGGACCCAAGTTTTGAGTATAATACTAGGATCAAGTTCCAACACTCCATACCTAAAAGCAAAATACTGAAGACGTAAAAGCGGACCAAACGCATGTGGAGTTTTAAGTAAACATTTAATCGAAATATTAATAGAGCATCCTTCCTTAGCAGTGTCTGCATGCAATGAACCCGTCTTGTCGCGGTCGCCTGTACCACTAAGTAACCACTGCGCCTCTGTGGTCACCTATTACACATACAGTTTGTTCTGTTAATACTAACATTGCGTATTTGTTATTTTAAAGTGATACAATTTATACATTATAGTGTGCACTTTGTTGTATTTAGGGTTACTGAGCCCATTTTGAAGAGCTCTTAAATGTTGTACTAATTCATGTCGCATTACACCCTGTACAGAAAAATAAAAAAGAAGGAGGTTCTCAATTAACTGTATGTCTTTTTTCTTATCTTTGTTTTTGGATAAATGTTACGCGATAACTCTGGTATTTGTGAGCTGATTTTCATGATTCTTTTTTGGAAAGGAGGTACTTCCATAATGGTCCCATTTAATTTTGAAGAAAATCATCTACCTCTAAGGGTGGCTGTTCACGCATGAAGATTCATTTTTATAAATAGCGCCAAAACTTTAATTTAGGAGCAAATATTTTAATGGTTGATATTGCTATTTCTCCAATTCAAGGCGTTTTTCTCTCAATATACTTTGAGTAGTGAGAACCGATTTTTATTATATCCAGTGTTGTGGCGAATTAGGGGATATTTCAATAAAACTTAGCAAATAGACGTAATTCCACATACTTTTGAGGTCGGTTTTTTTAGTACTCTGTACTGAGATTATTTGAAAACTATTCTGCCACATCATTACCATGACAACTGCGTTTCGATTGACCAGCCCGAATTCAAAACAATTAACGGAGTGTCGTCAAATGTTTCACTTCAAATCCACCAGTTAACTTGAGCTTTGCTATAATGGACGAAAATTGCAAAATTACATATTTAATATTTAATTACCGAAGAAATGTGATTTCGTTTGTTTTGTAACTAGATTTTTTGCTGGTTTTCCTAACACCACCAAACGGCACAGCACGGCTTTGTTAAAGATATTATCTTTATTACAATAAATACAGCATATTTTTGGAATATACGGAGACGTACACACAGGTCAGTTGTTGGCGCTGTACTATTTCAGTTCTCTAATTTGTAATTTCAGTGCAAACGAGAATCACTGACGAGTTACCAGGAATACCCCACGGCCATACCCCTTATTTCGTCTCTGTTTCTGGTTATATACGCGATGTACGCGATTACACTGGCATTTGTGAACAGATTTTGATGATTATTTTTTTGTTGGAAAGAGGGTGCCTCAGTATTGGTCCCATTTAAATTTGATGAAAATAATGCACCTCTAAGGGTGGCAAATTAAGATATGAATCCGGTTTAGCGCACTTTCCGGTAAGCGATCTCAATAAAACTTGGTAAATATATCATATGAGATATCATAAAAATCCATAACCCAGTTTTAGAATATTGAAATTGGTTTAATGATATTTCAGCTATGCATCGTTAGGGTGTGTTCCGATAATTCGAACGCTTTAACTAATTTTAACCGTTTTTAAAGGAGAATTTTGTGCTCCATCTTTTGCTATTTACAACGGATAGTTAACCATTTGTCACATAGCTGCGTTTTAGTCAGTGGACGGCAGTTTTGAGGTCGCTTTTTTATATATAAATTTCCATTTAATAAATATGTATTTGTTTGGGTTAACAATTTTTTGGAGTTAAGTCTGTGTTTTACTTAAAAGTACAAATAATATAATTTGACTTCTTACGATTGCTGCACATAGGAAATGAAACTATTGTTCGGATCTAAATAGCGTACGTTTATTTTTTCAAAACGTTTCGGGTCAAAGGGTCCTGTAAAGGCAGGTCCCGTGGTCCCGAGTTCCGAATTCCTAAATCCGAAGATGAATTAAGGAACAAAACGTTGATATCGAATAATGAAGTCAAAATCTAGCTATACTGGACAATGCAGCAATAGAATGGTGACCAAGAAGCTACATAAACATTAGACGTCATTCGGCAAGACGGATGACATCGTCAAAATCGTGGTTTGATAGCACATAAACAAACTTAGTTGCAGTAGAGTCCTTGTGAAAGTTTGTCCAGGTAAATACTGCCACTTTACCCATTTCT